TTCATCATCTGAATCGCAAATTTTCGATAGAATTCTTTTTGGTTGGCAGCATGTGGTGATCAGTGTTTGACCACCAAAAGTAGATTCTAAGACTTTTATAAGCTAATTGAAACCCAGCTGGCAACTCTCGCGAACCGTCCATTAGTCTGTCCACAGTAGAGTGCATACCGTATATCGTTGTAAAAGCTAACTAACAAAATTGTACAAATTAGTGCAAAGTTTTGTAGGCCTACATTCATCTGAGTCTAATGAACTTCAATTTCTTATTAAAGTTCACGTTTTCACGGATATATGGTATGCAATCTAAGGTACGTTTATCTCTATTACGAAGGGGAAAAGATGTGGTCTTGGAGAGTCATTAAAATTTGGAACTGAACTTTTTAGGTGAGTCAAGCATTCTTGTAGAGGACCACGAAAACACAATGTCGGTCAAGGTCTTGACGTCTTCAAAAACACGACTACAGATCCCCCAGCTCACCCCGTCCCACCCACCCATGGTCTGTCCGTCGCGCTTTTTGGGTCGTTTTTGATGTGATCCTATTGGAGGGCGCACATGTGTAGAACAATAGAAAACGATGACCTTAACCCCGCCCCTAAACCTAACCAATCACAGGGGACGTTGCAAATTCGTGAAGCCTAACCCCACTTTTTCTCCAACAAGTGCGAGAAATGAAAAATGCTCGCTAGTGTGCACAAATATATGTGCGCATAGTGTTTATATTCGTGTTGATGGTGGGATCTTAACCCAGGGGGAGATTGGAGGTCGATGTCAGGATGTAACCCCCTAAACCTCTAAAATGAAATATAAAGAAAGACTTAATCAATACTAAATAGGAACAAAGCGAAGAAAATTTATGAGAATAAAGTCGTGGGGTATCCTCGCGTGACAAAACCCAGGTCGCGTCGTGTGGTCAATGGCTGTCATGCAGGTCTGTCTGTCAGATGTCACGTCAGCTGTCAGTCAACGATAGTTATCCAATCACATTCACTCTTCTTGATACCTTTAAATAGTACGAGATAGATAAAATCCCACAATTCCTCATGCTGGGCACAACATCCGGGATCTCCACTTCATCGCACTTGTTCGATGAAGACGACCGCTGTAACAACTTGAGCCGCTTGTAATCGTTTCGATGTTTCCCGCATCGGGATTTATACGTCACATTTTGTATCAGGTAAATAGTGGTCTGGTATTTCTCTGTTAGTGGGAGGTTTTTGATCTCCACTATTAAACTAGCCTTTTCGCCTGGACAGTAACCACTGCGGTCGGATTGTACGAGGGCCTGTAAAGGTGCGGCCGTCCCGTTACGTAAGCAGTTGAGCGATCGTTGAGCTTCTCCGAACACTGGCATCTGTAGCAGAAATCAATCAAAGCAATGTAGTTAGATCTTCACTGTCTTTTTCAAAATCTATGCAGAAGCTGCAGGGTAATTTCAAACAACCTCCTTTAGCTTGGGCGTTATACCTTCCCATCACAGACATGTCATTATCTAGCGAATAAGATTCTTTGTTTGAGTTGTACCCATATATTCGCGTGTTCTTTTATGCACAACCGTTAAACGAAGAAATGATACTCTAGGTAATGACACGTGGTCTGAAATGGAAAACCTATAATATGCCGAAACAAAAGAAAGTTTACGATATTACGTACCAGCATTCGAGGACAATTGACATCAATCAAATCAATCACGTGAATATCCTCCTTAGTAACCTCGTCAAATCTCCAAGGTCTAATGATCCGCGCCCTCAGATAGTGTCTCACGTGACCATGCTTGCTATCAAAGGATGATGGGAGACTGAATGGCGGGATTTTGAAAGTAAACTCCATGACATGTCTCCCAGGCGAAAGTACGCTGACCGAGCCTTTCTTTTCGTTACCTATAAATAGAGATGACGTCATTACCTAGCCTTTTCATTTCTCGTTCATTATAAATAGAAATGACGTCACAATGTAGCAAGCCATTAAGAGCAAAGTGATGATAATAATTCAGGACCTACTTCCAAAATAGAAACCTTAACTTGAACACTTATAAAATGGCTAATGTTTTCTATAGTTTTCTACGGTATGTTCCTATGGTAACGACAAACGTAATCAAGAAACCAGTATTTGCTTGCGGCTGTCCACTGCACAATGGCAAGCATATCAGTTTCGAATTCCAAAATCTTAAAGGAAAAAAAAAACATACTAGCAAAGTTTATGTTTAGCTATAAATTTGCTATATTTGATACGAAGATTTTTTTTAAATGTCGAAATCTCTCTTGAAAATCCTTCTCCAAAACATTCTCCAGGACGATAATTTTGTTATGTCTTGCACCAAGGGTTGCCTTCAAATATTTATTTGACGAAGTGATGTGGTTGGTTAAATTTTTATTGTGGAGGGAGGGGTAGTGGTTGGATTTGATTACTGGATTTACAAGATAGTACGTTTATGCGCGTCGCTTGGATATAGAAGCGTTAATTACTTTAAGTGTGTTTGAAGCAGACTTTTCACACTATTGTGTAATCYTATAACGCTTGCATAATTAAGTGTAAATGGAATGAATGAAAGAAAAGTGAAGAACAAATAAAATAGCGAGAGATAAAATGCTTTTGCAACATCTACTTTTCGGAAGAAAATCGGATATATTTTAGGGATTTTTTAAAAGATTTTTGCTGTTTCTGACACCAAAAAAATGACCCCGATTCTTACATTAACAATAAAACTTACGGTACAAACATTCCCTGCGTCTTTTAACAAGTATAACAGCTTGTTTTACGAAGCCAAAAATAATATTGATTTCAGAATATAGCGGTTCTAATGATCTCAAGCGATGGAAAAGTTCTAATGGTGAGATTGGAAACTTGCTTTCATGATTTAATTGCAGTACATAACATGTTGAATGCGAGGCTAAGAGAAATACGTACACAATAAATGTCAAATAATTATATCTAGAAAAGTGTGATTTCTTTTGTGCTTTCATCCAAGATAATTTTGAGAAAGGTGCATCGATTTAGAACTAGTGTGGAAACAATATATCCGTGAAATAGTACTAACTAAATAGTAAAAAATAGCGCCAATGAAACAATTGTGAAAACCAAAGAAATAGATTTGTTTTGTCTTTGTGCTATTTCACGAATAAGTGATTTGCACTCTACCAGCATTTCCTTGGTCAAAAAAAAAAGAAAAAAAAAAAAAAAAAAAAAAAAAAAAAAAAAACAGAAAAAGGAAAAGGAAAGAAACTAAATATTACCTAGGAGTATTTACAACAAAATTTCTCACTTACCACTAGAAATAAGCGAAGATTTTTTATGAAAATATATCTCTTCATCCTTGTGAGTCGTAGTATAGTTCTGCATTTCATCCCATGTCGTTCTTGCTTCTCCAATGAATTCGATATTCACGCTACGGAATTTCAAACTTTCCTTCAATTCAATAACACATTCACCAGAAACAACTTCTCCCGGATGGTAAGTTTTTTCTCGCCTGTGTGGTAAAATTTCAAATACAATTGCTTTCCCCATTTCGTAGTCGTGAAAGCTTGTACATACACGCTGAAAAAGTTTGTTTACAACTGTAGACAATTCTCCATTTACGACTTCTTAAATTCCAGGGGAAAAACGAAAACAAAAGTTGAAGTCTTCAAATAAGAACAAAAGGTGTAGTTCCAAGAGAGGCTTATCAGAAGAAACACTGATTCACTGAATTTTCTCCGAGTTAAAATCCAAGATGGAAAAGAGTATCTGTYGGAATGTCTGGACCGAGCCTTGTCTTATAATGTTTACGGGTCTTCAAGCACTTGAACGTTGTCCAAACCCAAGCACAGCAGAGCACAGCAGAGCACAGCAGAGCACAGCGGAAATCGTTCCCAGGATTTCCCGGACCAGAAGTGAAAACCTCCGAAAATCCTCTTGCTTTTCTTTAAGGTTACCAAATTCCTCAGTTAATACTCATGCACTAATCCCAAGCACCAAACAGCGTCGATTTGTGGAAAAAGACATTTACAAACAACGCGTAAAGTTTCGACGCTGAAAAGCGGATTTTCATTATTGATGAGTGTTTGAGTATGGGCGACCAATCAGAGCTGAGACGTCAGACATAAGAACCGATATCTCGACAGGAAATTTTAAAATCCACCATGTTTTCCCATAACATTAGTATTTATCTCCAATATCAAGATGGTAAACAAGCAGGAATCCAAATAAAGTGAAGAAAAATGAGCACTGACGGTTAAAAAAAATGAAGCTGTTTATCAATGGACGCGACGCCAAGTTAAAAAGTCAGCTTATAGTCGGGAAAATAGCCAAAACCAAACTTTATATCTAAATAATACTTTTTTTACCTTTTCTGGCCGAAATCTTTATTCTAAAGAATAGAATTTCGAATTGGAAATTTTTTAAAGAATTTTATAAGCCCTGGTTGATGATTCAGAGATTACTCACAATAAGTGACGATCTGATTGTTATGAGTCACACAACATTAACAGTTGATGATGTTACGCCTCTTGCAGGTGGCAGAAGCGAAGTGGGACACAGAAAAAGAAGAAAACTGTCGACAGTGATCTTACTTCACGGTTGATTCACGGCTATAATTTTTTCTTTTCTTTTCTTTTTTTAATCTTTTTTTCCCGCCAAAAACGATGGAACATAGTTTTAGTTCTTTTTTAAAATCCTTTTTGGAATTAATAATTCTTTAATTCTTTTCTATTCGTTTTTTTTTTTTTTTTTTTTTTTTTTTTTTTTTTTTTTTTTTTTTTTTAATTTAATTTAATTTAATTTTTCAAAAAGGACGAAATACAGTTTTTTTAAAAATTATTTTTCGAATCAATAATTCTTTAATTCAAAGAGAAAAGAAAACGGAATATATATTTTCGGATTTCCGAAAAATCGTTGTCCACTTCCAAGGTTCACCATGTTTATGAAACAAGAATTCCTAACCGGCCAAACATATCGAAAAATTTTCGCAAAATTAACAGACAAACTTTGTCAATCTTTTTACGATTTAGCTAGAGAAGGAACTATTCCACGGAGGGAAAGACCTTTTCGAATATCCAAGCAAACTTTTTAAGGGGAAACAAAAACATTTTTCTTTTTTTTTTCGATTTTTTTTCCAGTGTAATACCAAAGTTGTTTTCTTTCTGTGCGTTTCCATAGAAACACGACAATTTCAAAAATGGCTTTCAGACGKATTTTCGAAGCCGGATTCTCAAGAATAATGGTTTTTTAAAAATGATAAAAGGAATTGGGTCAATCCTTKTTTATTTTATACAACACATTGTCTACTATAAAAAGAAAAGAGTCTAGTTCTGCTAGCCTTGTTCTTTGTTCTACTCATCCATGTCCATGGTTTCTGCTTCTCGCATGACTTGGGAAATCTTTTGCGCCTTCTTCTTCTTGACTGTGGAAAAAAAATCCATGACGGTCGAGTCAATATATCTTTTCTTCCTCTAAGTTCATTTCTTTCATTATTTTCTTTCCATCTCTTCCTCTTTTTTCATTTTCCTTTTCTTCACCTGCTTTTGTTTTCTTCTCTGTTTTCTTTTTATTTTCTTACGATTTCTCCATTCATGTCAAGAAATATACCCTTCGTCACATCCAGAATTTCCTTCCGGATGTGACGCAGGCTACAAGAAATAAAGAGGCAATATAATAAAACAAGATTACTTTACCTGGTTCTGCGATGAGGTTGATATTTTGTAGCACTTCTTTCTTGTCGGCTTCTTTTACTAGTTGTTTGTCGGGTTTTAATCTGAAATACAAATAGAAACCAAGTCCAAATTGTTTCTTCAAGTCACGTTCATCCAATTAAGAATAATATTAATGAAATTTATTTACTCCTCCAATTATAGAGTTGTTTATTGGTGGTTCTCTCTCATGAGAGCAAACTTACCTGTTTTTAATGTGTAGATTTTGTCTTTTCTGTTTAATCTCTTCAATTCTCTTCATAGCACGGACTACAATATACAACAGAATAAAACTTTTTCATTTAATGAGGTTACTTTGTGGCTTTAAAGAAATCTGCTTTATATAAAAACTCATATTTTTTCTTGAATATGCCAATCAAAATCTTAATTTTGAGAAAATCCCAATTTTTCTATTTAGGTGGTAAAATAGGTGACTAGTTGCTCCCCTTCTTTTGCTCAAATTGCTCAGTATATCGTTAATAACAGTCACCCCCCTTTTTCTAAAACCCCTRGTAAAACCTTCRTAATAGTMRCYCCCATTCTAAAATTYCTGGATCCACYCATGAACAGAYGGCCAATATTATAATRGAATATGTTTTCATAGCAGTAACGATCAATATTTAAACWAAGATAGTTTTCTAAAAAGATGCTTTAGTCTGTACCCACCTGTGTTGGTCCAAAGTTCACGGTTATATTTGACTGGAACATTTCTCTTCTTTTCAAACTCAAATGTGGTGTCCTTCAAAATGAGCATACAAGGYGTAAATATTGGATGAGGTTGAGCATGATTTCAAAGGTTATCAAGACCAAAGGTGTCTGACATGCCTGCATGGACCTTAAGATTGTTCATCATGATCGTGACACACTCAGATAATACAACTCTAGGCAGTGTGCTTTACAAATGCACCTGTGTTAGGCTTATGTCAAACGTCAACTTCACATGAGCCCAACCTAACGACATCAAAGAAGACTGTAATTTTATCCATTGTTTCAATACTTGATAATGATCTATTTTAGATGGTATTTTATGGATTCAGAAATGATCTATTGCACTCTAAGACTCAAGTCAAATGTCAAACTTCACATGAGCCGAACCTAATAATTATTAGGTTCAGCTCATGCGAAGTTCAACATTTGACCTGAGCATTAGAGTGCTAGATTATTTCCAAATCCATAAAATACACAGTGTTCCTTGATTACAGACTCATTTACTCAGGGTTAGCCTCATTTCAGCAACAGATATTGAATTAAAAAATACCAATGGTAAAGTAAAGAATGAGAATACAAAACTGCAGTATTTTGATTAAGAGCCAAACATGTCTAAAAGTTGTGGAAGTCACCAAGGTATGGAAAATTATATGTGCCATGCAGGGTAGACCTCTTTAACCTTGGGCGCAACGTTTTCCCATTTCAAACCCCATGTCATTCTMTTGAAACTAAGATCCTTTGTTTGAGTTGTATCCAATGATTCAAGCATCTTCTTATGCACAAACATTTTAAAACGAAGAAATGATACTCTAGAGAATGACATCTAGGCTGAAAAATATTTTGCTATGCGACCCCCATGTCAGCCTATTCTTAGCCATGTTCGACTAAAGTCAGCTTGTTTCTCTTGTTTGGTTCACTCCATCTCTTCTGATTGCTTTGCATCAGAATACTCCAAAGATCAAGTTTGTTTTTTTACCAAAAATTTCTCCTACAAGTAAAAATAAACTTACAATAGCCAAATCCTTTCCAGAAGCTTTTCTGAATGCCTTTGTCCACTTGATCTTTCTAGGATTTCTTTTCATCTTGAAATTCTTGTGGCATTTTGATCTACAGAATCTGAATATCTGAATAAAAATAGGATTTGATAAAATGTTAAAATGATAAAATCATTAGCATCTGTTTATAATACGCTATATAAACATTTACTCTCTCTCTCTCTCTCTCTCTCCCTTTAAATAATACAAGTAAGTAAAGCCAGGAAACTAGTAAAGGCAGGTTTGTCTGTCCTTCTTTCTTTTAAAGCTTTAAAATTAGAGTAAAAAGCGATAAATATTTTTATGTAAAAATAATGTGTCAACACTCATGGCCCAAGTGGTAAATTAGGAAGATTCATTCAGCTTTTTTATGTCACAAATACGAGCCAACGAAGCCAAGAAAAAGGACAGTATTTATCTCACCTTACAATCATTCCTTACGAAAGCGATTCCATGTCCTGGATAGACCGTAGACGAACAAAAATAGCATTTTTCTAAGCGCATTTTGTCAGCACTTCGTCCTTCTTCACGAAGGTTGACCAAAAAGAACGAGTCGCGTGGTGCAATCTATGGTCAGCAGTTTGGAAGTCCAGGCCAACTCGAACYTTTACACACAGGGAGCCCAGACTGTTGCTCACAGATAGTTCACTGTTTGTAAGGCTAACAGGAAAATAGTTATGAAATGGCAAAAATTGCAAGTAAATTTGCGATTTTTTTTATTTTACTGTTTGTCTGCAAATCCAATATAATTTCGAAAAATCTGAGAATGGTTAAATGTGATTTTATGGAAATGTGTATGTTTTCAAGAGGGGAAAGGGAGGCGGGAGTTTTTGTTAGTCGCTCAGGGGGATATCAACTCTTAATGAAGCGAGAGATGGTCGTAATTTTGCGTACAGGTTAATCAAGCRTGCTATAGGTTTCCGAACACACCAGGAATTTGAATAGAATTCCCCCAACAATTCCCGTACACAAAGTTACTCCCAGAGAGATATATAGGATACATATATTAGTTCACAAAGGGTGGGTCACCAAAAAGGCTTCATTTTCAAAACTTAAAATCTGTTTCTCACTATYTTTAAYACAGAAAAGTTTTTTTCGAGGCAAAGTGTAAGCAAAAACATGTATTTTCGTTTTGTAAGTTTTATTATAAATTWTYTTTCATACAAAAAGTTTTTTCAATCTTTCCAATGTTTTCCCTTTATAGACCAGGCATGTGTCATTCTCTTAAGACTAAGATTCTTTGTTTGAGACTCATTCCTTTTGATGTATCCTCCTAAAGATTATCAGTAAACRACAGAATTATTCTCAAGGGAATGACACATGGTCTAAAACAGGAAAAAATTACATCCAAGTTAAAGAAGTCATAGTCCCCTTCTCTCTTATCATTATTTCTGTAATAATTTGCTATTATCATCTTTGTCATAGTTCTGTATTACTGCACTGAATGCAACTGTATTTCAATATCAAAAAAGATGAGGTGCAATGCAAGCACAAATGGATTAGTGCAATGATGAGCCAGGTGATCTCGTTTTGATGGCCCATCTAAAACCAAACAATGAGCGTGCAAKAAGAAATCTGACCAAGTGGTCCATTTATTCTAATCAGCATAAGATACTGAAAATCTTTGCTTTCCTAGCTACTTTATGGACAAACAATGCACTTAGATTCTACCTATACTTGTAACAACTACCTGCAGTCAGAGAAAAGGACTCTGAATCTTTGCTTTCCTAGCTACTTTATGGACAAACAATGCACTTAGATTCTACCTATACTTGTAACAACTACCTGTGGGTCAAATGGTGCATTGTGATTTCAATTCTTTGATGCAAATAACATTAAATTATACCTCTTTATTTGCCGAGAAATAACTGAAATTAGGACCACCTGATCTACTTCGAYAATCCTTTGCACACGTTCTCAGAGATCATGCATTTGTGCCTTCATAACATGTGCAAGTAAGGCTGAATGCATGGTTTGGCACTTACATATAATTATATGTCCCAGCATTCATTATGTTCACATAATAATCTGTTATAATAAAAAAAATTCATTCAAAACATATGAAAAACTAATTAATATATTCAGTTGATTTTTTCATATGTTGATGTCGTCATTCGCTTCCTATATTTTTTCACACAGATATAAATACTCCCAGCGAAGATAAAGGCAAATGGTAATCCAAGACCAACAATGATAGCTATGAATACAGTAGAAGAAATTTTRTCAAACTGAGGTTTTCCATATCCAACTTGACCAGACCTAAAGAAACAAAATCTGTTATTTCTAGATACCTCTTTGGCTTAGAATCTACAATGTATTCCCAATAGCCCACTTSCGAGATATGCTTYGCTTGTCACGCACAAAGGTTTCAGTATGAGRCTACGTGCTAAATGCTCAGTCATTCGTGACAGGCGGTAAGAATACATTTAATTTAGCACGTAGCCTCATACTGAAACCTTTGTGCGTGACAAGCGAAGCATATYTCGCAAGTGGGCTATTCAGMCATGACATTCCCTCAAGTATTACAGAGGAATTTTTTTCGTTTGCAATATAGAAAAGAAGCAATTTCTTATGACATTTGAATGGGGGAAATGTTATAACCAAATTATTCTTAGTAGTATTTGGGTATGATATAATTAGCAATTATTCGCTGAAGGCGAAGTGAATATCGGGGAATATTTACCAAGACGCGAGGTAAATATTCTCCATATTCACTGAGCCTGAGGTGAATAATTGTTTTAGCATATACCAACTTGTGTACAGAGTAACTTATTTTTTTATACATTAATTCAATAAAAACAAGCAAACAGAAACTTTTAGTTTGCGTGACAAATTCAAGCAAACTTTTAGCAAAACTTTTAGGCCATACTTTTTTGCCTTTTTAGTATTGATAGGAATGGCATTTACTTTCATTTTTTCAATTTCCTCGTTGGAAATTGTAGCAAAACGATTGCCGGCAGATGCCATTTTGTTGCCGACTCAATATTCCGAGATTCAGAGGTGAATATCGTACAATATTCACCTCCAATTAACCAATGAGCACGCGCGTTCTTAGGAAGTACACAAGTTGGTATATGCTAATCCAAAGTATTGGGGGTCTTTGGTTTGATTCCTGGACTTAGTATGACGTGACATGTTGTTGGGTCTGTCCATTGATTCGAAGCTTTTCTATGAGTTTTCTGGTGTGCCTCTTTATGCAAAACTAACAAGCTAAGTATGAGTATCAGCCTAGAGGTTGTTTCAGGGTTTTAATAACATTATATTCAGGTTTATGAAATGTTTTTGTCACTCGGTAAAGATCTATATGTTAAGTGTATGCTACATCGAGTGTATAAGCGAATTAAAAAGATCTGCCTCAGTTGGGTTCTCGCAGGACTCGAACCACTGACCTCTCATTTGCTAGACGAGACATCTCGGCCACTGAGGCTTTACGGGAGAAGGTCGTGTTTAAATATTTAACATATATATTATTCAGGTTGTTTGARGATTGACTATATGAGAGTGGTGCAATAAAGTTCCATGACAAGCCAAATTATGCATTAAAAATTTCCCACTCAACATTTGCAAACCTACCAGATCAAATCTTCTGATTTTTCATACCATCCATCCTTATTCTGCCCAAAYGATACCATCATTGGATACGTTTTTCCAACATTCATTGCAGCTCTAATAACTTTGGATGGACGATCTTCCAAACTAGAAATGAGCGATTTCTTGCAACTACCATCAACTTTTGAATGGGGATATTCGTTATTACTGTCATAGAGGTATTGGTATGAAGGGACTTGATACAGCAGTTTTCTTGGTTCGTYGTTGTACGAGACTGGTTTCCAGGATATGGAGGAAGAGAGTCCGTCGGCATTCAATACAGTGTTATTGATTACAAATGTTCTAAACACCCCTGGTGAATATTCATCGTCAATAGACTGATCTTCCATAACACAGGTTTTGTCTTCCTCTTTTCTCGTGTGTGTCAGCAGTTTTAAAGCAAYGCGTGTGTGGGTAGTGTTCAACTTAAGGTTTTTTAGTGAGATAGTGAAACGTGTGCTGTTACTGGAGTATAATTGTTTGGGTGCTACCTCATCTCTGCCATCATTCGTTGCTGCTAGACACTGAATATGAATCAATAATKGATTAATTATTTATCAATCAATGAATAAATGAATGAATGAATAAATGAACAARCGAATGTCTTTTTTRTCGTATGAATGAATGGCATGAATGTGAACAAAATAATAATTTTTACATATTATACAACCATCTGTAAATCAATCAATCACCCAATGAATGAAGGAATGAATGAAGGAATGAAGGAATAAGGAAATGAATGAATGATACATCAATAACAGATGAATCATTACCTGAAATGAAATGCTCCCATTTAGAAAGTCTCCAACAAAGATAACATTATCTTTTTCCTCTTGTGGATTTTTCCAGTATGTGTTATTCATTTTGTGCACATAACCATCAAAGTCACTTTTTGAAAAAATAACATTATCATCTGGGTCATTAAATTCATGTAGCTCTGATATCTCAAAYGCTACGATATAATCATATTTCAGTTGGAATTGTATAGCACCCTCGGAGCCTTGCAGAAGTTTTGAACAGTCAATATTAAGACCAGAKTCTTTGCCATATTCTTTCTTGGATGTATATGCAACAATGATTGATGGCGTTTCAAACACACTCCAAATGAACTGAACTGTATTCTTTTGTCTGGTGTCTTCAGCTTTCACATAAAAAATTGATATGTTTTGGTCCTTGAAGTTTGAACTTGAACATGTATATTCTGTCTTTGTTATCTGAAATATGATACAAACATTTGTGGCCTTTGAATTATAATTTTACAAATGATAAAATACAGTTTGATCTAAAACAATTGATCTAAAACAATTAAGCACGTTTTGAAGCAAATAATAAATTGTTGAGTAAAACTTTTTTGTTGTCATATCTTCATCWTAATTTCCATACATTCCATTCATAATACACTCTAACAAATTACTCGATTCTGATTGGACAAGAGGAGTACAATTAATCCCAAATTGTACTCTGTAGCGTACCAATTAAGTTGCTCAATTTTTTGAGGGTATTATAAACAAATTTTTGCATAATCTTCTCGTACAATTCAGAATTTATAGATACTCTAAAGGCTCATCCAATTTTGAAAACTTTCAAAACATCACTCGTACCTATAAATTCCGAAATTCCAAATTGTACTCAAGATTGTGCGATTTCCTATACACAGGAACCTTGTTTGGACTGCCTGTGCTCCCAGGGGGGGGGGGGAGGGTACTCCCCTATATTCACTATACGGGTACGTGCCGCCAAACAGGGTGTGGCTTTCAGCGATTCTWTTCTGGAACAGGGTATATAAAATCGCGCTCTCTCTGGGACAGGGTATATGAAATCACGCTCTCTCCTCTCTGGAACAGGGTATCCATTTTCGYAACACCGGAAAAGGTTATGGTTTTCAGTGATCTTGCTCTGGAACAGGATATGAATTTTAGCAATTTTACTCTGGAACAGGGTCAGGGTTCAGTGGGCTYAGCTGCACATCCCTACCCAAGAGCACCCCCCTGGGCCTGTGCTATACTAAGGGGTTTTCTTCAGGTTCTCCTCGCTCCATAAAAACCAACATATGAGTTAATTGAGTGCCGTGTGCACAGAACATTGAATGTAGCAGTAGTATATGTGAGTGAAATAGTGCATGCAAAAGCACCAGAATGACTAAAATTAAACGAGCTAAAAAAACTTGTWTTAATTTTTGTGAGGGACAGGGACCCTCATATTCGCAATTTGAAAATTATGAATTCAGTAGTGTAGGAAGGCCAGAAATCCCAAAGAAGAAAACCGTAAAARCACACAAGAGATAAACAACTCCACGAATGACACAGCAAGTGTAAGGTAGAAATCATAGCCATAGCTTAATATTACTGCAAATAATATCTATAAACCAAATACAAGTAAATTCGCACGTCTTTTTTTCAGCTTTTGCAACTTAAATCTCGTTATGAATTTTGGGCCTCGTTCTTTCTAGATTATCAAGAAACTTAGCAGATAGGAAGTACTTGCTCTTACCTTTCTTTCCRCCGAGTAACAAGGTTCAATCAAGATTAGAAAGATAGGAAAAAGTAAGAGAAAGGAGAGCCTTGAAGAAAGTTGTGACAAGGCCACCATCTTGGATCATGTGATAGTCGAGTGATAGTCATAACCCAGAGTCACGCGACTTACTCGACCACAGGGATTCCAATTATTATTTCATTTTATTTTTATCTTCATTCCGAGATTTACGAAAGATTTGATCTTGGTTCAATTCTTGTGTTATTTCAACCATCATCTTCATAACGGCCTTGTTTTTTATTCTTTATTTTTTTATTCTCATAGCAAGGGATGCACACCTTACMCTCGGGGTGCATGTGACGTCATAGCTGTCATGTTGMATGATCAAAATTTGCGGTTAAAGATTTCGTTGACTTCGAAGTTAACCAATAYAAACTWATGTTTTTCCCCTTTGATTCTAAGGGGTGCAACCCTCCCTGGGTTAACTTTGTGCGCAGCACCCCTACCTGAACAAAATCTCTTTAATCTGTCCCCAACCAACATGGTAATTGGCTCCAGATCCCAAAAAGTAGTAGCCAAAAAAAATTTTTTTAAATTAATATTTTTGAAAATATTTGTATTTCACTTATATTTAACTCTAATATCCCAATAAAAAATATCAGACCAAGATAACTGTATTCAGTTGAAAACAATATTTAATACCATCACTTTAACTACAATGTCATTATACAACTGTCTTAAGAAAAATAACAATTTTAAATTTACAAATTTAGCCTCAAAATATCMAACTTGAGTATGGCATGTTGCAGGTTAATTTCCAAATGAGCTGAGATTAACGATAGATCAGACCATTTTCTACTACCGGTCGTATACGTTATGCTAATCTTCAGTTTCTGGGTTGATTTTTGCGGTTTTCTTTAAGCTTTTTCACTTCTCCTTTATTGTGTTGATTGTTGTCTGAAATAGATAAACAGAAAAATAAAATATTGGGTTTTTTCTTTGTTTGTTTGTTGAGTGGTGGTGCTTTCGAAGCAATGATTGACACTACAGTTGCGCGCGAACCATGAACTTTCTATCTTCTAGCTAAAAAGATCTCTTAACATTTCTATTGCAGTTTCGTTTGAGAAACTCGTATACCGTAATGCATATTGAGTCACAAATTAAGAGCATTTGTCGGCTTAAAATTCTACTTTCAAACACTACTAAAACGTTTACCAAGATTTTTTCATTAATTCTAAGCTCTTTTTCCATGGCGAGTGATCAAGCGGACGATTCAAATCCAAGGATAGTATCGACTCGATAAAATCGGCTCTGCGAAATCAGTTTTAAATAGCGTCTCATGCAAAATTTATCYCGAAGCATCAAAAGACTAAAGTATCATTAATTTTAAGCTGATAGAGCGCATGTAGTCACACTTTTGAATAGTTAGATAAGATTATCTAACTTAGATAACTATTTAGTTGACGAGGATTTATGACCATTGGTTTGGCGCGTATTGACTATTTTAGGTGACGTCAACTCATAGTTATCTAATTGGATTAATTTATCTAATAAATGCACATTAATGATGACTCGAGTGATCAGGGATCCTCCTGGGAATTCCTTTGTCATTCAACGTCGTCTCATACAAAATTTATTTCAAAACCGCATCAAAACGCCTACTTTTTATCATCAATCTTAAGTTTGTTCATGCGAGTGATAAAGCGAACAATTCCAGAGCTGTCCGATCCGCGGATACTGAATCGAGYGATCAGTCATCCTCTTGGGAATTCCTTTGTCGTTCGATGTCTTATATAAAATTTATTCCTAAACATAAAAACGCCTGCTTTTGTCTTACAAAACAATACCTGTCACTTTTAATAGCAATGATATTCGATTTTAAGCTAGAATCAAGGAAATAAGAGAGGACTATATTTATAATTATTTTTAATTTTGTTATAACCCTCTTTATAAATGCGAGGTCAATATATAGTTAGTTATTAACCCGGTTAATAACTATATATAGACCTCGCATTTATAAAAAGCAACATTTAATAGAAAACCTTCTCAATTGATAAATAGAATACTTAATTACCGAGAACGGAGTAACATGAAACAAAAAGAGAAGAAAACGATAATAATGGTGAAAATAATTGCAGGAAAAATATTGAAAATTATTTTTTTAAATGTAGTTAAAAGCAACGGGAAGGAGATAAGAAGGCATCAAGGAATATGTGGTGGTTGGTATTGGTGAAAGGGGACGGTACCAGTATAATATTTGCCAGGAAGAAAAAGCGTGTATCAGAGCTCATGTGAATGTAGTATCATGTCTGCGTCCATGAAAAATGAAGCATTTTGGCGGGGACGGCACGCTATATTTATGAGATCTATTCAAACGATATTCGCAGAGATTGCCTCGTCAACTGAGTCTAAATCGGCCGCGGGTTTTTTTTTTTTTTTTTTTTTTTTTTTGTCAATCTTTAAATAACTTAATTTTAAAGCACCAGCTTTAATTTCTATTTGAAATACTGATTTCATTGAAGATTGCGTAAATCATTTTTTTAATGGCTGAAATATTTTTTTAAATCTATTCAAATGCCTCTATAAATGTCAGCTACTTGCAAGGCAATAACCAATGATGTTTCAAAACTTATAGAGAGGTAKTTTACTCATTTTTCAATACAATTTGGTTAACAATAGTGAAATTCTTAGTGAAGGACTAAGCTTTTTGATGTGTAAAGTTTGTGTTTATGAGCTTAAAAAGAAATTAAAGTTTACTTTGCAGAAACTGCAACTAGTAAGAATTCTGATTTTCTATGACTATGTGCATATGAAACAAAACTCGAGTTTGTCAACAGATGTCGATATAAAGACAGTTAATTCTTTTGTAAACATTTAGCGCGAATAACTCAGCAGTCATTGAGAATGTTATATAAAGAACCCCTTTTTGCTGAAGAAATGCTTATTTTTTAGAACAAATTAATTTGCTGTTTACATTTTTGACAACTAGCCCGGTAATTTGAGTCAACTTTGCGTTACCGCTTCCTCTAAATAATTAACATGTTCTATACAAGAATATGCAAACCTGACAAGAATTCAAAAAATAATTTCGAAATAGAAAATTTTTTCGACAAAAAAAAACAAAAAACAACTATATAATAGATCAGAGATTTGAGAGTAAAATAAGAATATTTTTGTGATTAGTATTTCTTATTAACTTACCTCGATATTGGACGCTGAAAAAATATTTCTTTCAAAGTTTGGAGATCATCTTTYAAAGTGATAGATTGAAATAAGTAATCAATAAGATCTGAGCGTCCTTTTACACTAATGCTTCTGATTTTACTTTTGTTGAAGAATAAACGTACTGCTTTCATATTGGCAACCACCTCTGTGTATCGACCTGCCCACATGTTTTCGTGTAAATATTCTAAGCAAAGTTTCCAGTCTTTTGAACTCCTTGGGTCCATGTCGGTGAAATCCATTGAATGTTCAGGTAARGCTCTGTTGCTAAGAAGATCAATTAAGTACGGCTCTAATACGGCCCAGAATTTTTCTATTTCAGCTGGAGTCCAATTTGGTTCAGAGTAGAMAACGTTTGTTTCTACAGTACAGGGCATTGCACTTGGTTTTTGARACCTGCTTCAAAGCTGTTACCACGCGATGATATCACACCGCTAAAACTGGTATCTAAACAGTAAAAATTACAAATCATCAACATTTAGTTAGTCACATGTTAGGATAAAGAACAATCAAATTTTCCATTGATTGGTTAACGGGTGATTAAGTGGTAACTCTAATTACGCTATCAGGACAATTCTATTGTTTTTATTTCGGCGCCTTTGTCGGTATATACTTTCGTTCAGCTGGTTGAAGACTTTGGAAAGATCTCAAATAATACGTTGAATTCAGTTCCGACCGTCCATGCATAGCTAGCTCGACGTAACAACTCGAGCTGTTCGGCTATCGAATTTAATCGAATCAAATCGGGGTTCGATTCGTTCGGTAATCAGAACGAAATATAACTCCAAATTATTTTGGGCAATCGGAAACAGTTATCGACAATGCAATTAAGTTCGATTGTTTCCGTTTGATTTCATATGCCTTCGATTGAGTTCGATTTGCTCCGACTGASTCCGRAAATCGAACACTAATCCAACGYTCACAAAATTTTGGGMTTTTGGCGGTTCGATTCGATACTTCGATTAACGAACGAACGTGTTCGATTAACTCCGAAACGTTCGAGTAGTTACGCCGGGATGCATAGATACCATGCTTAGTACCTTTTTACTAGATCAATGAAAAATACTAAGCATAATAGGTAGTAGTAGACCGACTAATTCAATTGTTTTCTTTTGTTTTACTTCGACTGTTAGTCACTAATTAGACTATACAACTTTGTTTCAACATAGAGTGAAGGCATTTAACCCGTAAAATAAAGCWTACTAGTCAATGTGYAATAGTCAAATARACACACAAGAAAACAATRGAATTAGGGYCTTTTAATGTGTATTAGTCTAATCAGAGTTAATAGAGGGGAACAGTCCCCTATATTAACTCTGGTCTAATATCTATTGCACGGGTTTAGTGCTGAATTACTCAGATCAGGTTTAGAATGATTTTAAGTGTTTTATCAAAACGATTTCTTCAAACTCTCCATTTATATACGTAATAACTTTGACATAGCTCTACTATTTCAAATCATGATATTTTTGATGGTCTTTATTTAATATTTAAAGTGTCGTGTCACGCTAGACATGCAAACTGTCGCAAACTCTCCTATCAGACGTCATGTGATCAATGACGTCATTCTATTTCTTGGAAATGTTTTCGAATTTCAAATTTATATATTTTTAAAACGTCCATCTTGGAAATCCTATGTYGTACTTTGTGAATTAGCTAAACTCATGGCCATAGGATTAGAATCAWTGGAAATTATATATGCTTATCAATCTCGAATTGATCAACATTTACTTAAGTGGAGTCTGGTTTTATGGAGATGTTTCCAAGTCAAACGATTCCTACACATTCTTTTTTTGAAGTCAAAATTTTGAGTGAAAAAACTGCTGAAAATCCCATACCTTCGTCTGCTACAGCTAGTGATGAAACAAATCAGCTCCAAGATGTTCGTGCRAAATTCAAAGACTCTTTTCCAGATGCAATAGAGCTGGGAGAAACATCACCATATTCCAGAGAAAACGTTGACCCGACAAAACTGTGGTGCAAGTACAGAGTCAAAGTTTGTGGCGCGTCAACGAAGCCTTCAGCATTTAAGCACATTCGTCTAAAATGGTGTGGCGAAATTTGCAAGCCAGGGGAACCATTTTGGCTAGAATCTTTAGAAAGTAATTCTTGTTCTTATCCTTATAAATCCAAAAAACAAGTACATCGTCTGCCATCTTCTTCGTTTAGTCTTGGGARCTTTTCAGATCGTAGTACATTCATTGAACACTACAACACGAACAATGACTATAATTTCGTTGAAAAAGAGGGAATTTTCAGTAGTTTCGAGCACGATATTTCAAAATTGACTTTAACTRTAACTCTAAAACGTCGTTGTCGAACCGAAAGCACGACAAAGTTCAAAGTAGAATTTCAATATAAGCAGTTTGAAGATTACATTTTGGTGGATTTGAATCAGAAGAACCAAACGATCGACCTCTACATACCTTTGATTAGGCCACCTATCGTCAAGAAAGGTCAGTATATACTTAGCAATTATTCAGCAGGAAAAACTAAAACGTAAGGGAGTTATCATTATTTATCGGGGGGGRGGGCSACCAAATKTGCATTGAACCCTGTCAAGAAAATAGAKGCCCTTCCTTGAAAGGCAAAGAAAAAAAAGTATATCCCTTAAATAGGATATAAAAAATTATGACCCTCCCCAAAAATATATATACCAGAAATCCTGATGGAAAAAAAAAATTTATTAACATTTCTTATATTGAGTAGAGAAACTAATTCTACAGAATAATCAATGTAAAACAAAGGGGGGAAACTCGCAAAATTAAATACAGCACTCGCATGTGACGTCAAAGGAGCTCAATTTGGAGGATTTCCATCTCATGAGRATTGGGAACCTATTGTTTTGTCTTACAAACTGAGCTGCATTCCGACGTGCTGCAAGGGGTCTATAGGTACAAAAATCCTCAAATTCGTTCTTTCCTTCTCCTTGACTGTTTTCCAGAGGTCACTGACGCTAATAAAGATACTAGTTTMCAACGATGTATAAAATTCCTGAGCTGTAGACAAGAGGTCCTGGGCAATAGTTCCGTTCTGAGACTGCACTACGCATATTCCGACCAGGAAGACCGCGGTCCAATGGAATTGGTTGCTCGGCTTGGAAGTCAGAGTAAGTAAAGAGGTTTTTAATGTGATTTTATCCTAGTAAATAATGGGTACAATTATTTACTAGGATTTATTATTTTTAGCATTTATTATTATTGATAACACGGATAATCATGATTTTTTTGAAGATAAGGAATGAAAAAATAGGAAATCCGCGCGTATTTGAGTCTGATTGGTCGAGAACTGTGCTATATGACTAAACGGAGCACGCGCGGTTGCTGACGCCATTGGCGCAGCAGACTTTGTAATGAAGGAGTGTAAGAAAACAGAGTTGAAAACTACAACGTTTCTTTCTATTAAAAAAATAAACACAAATAAAACAGCTTTTTTCTAAACTGGATAACGTTTTTATTTTGTGTGCTAGATCGCAAGATTAATTTCGCAGCAGTGCTAACCAGTCCACCAAGAAATCCAAGCGAGGTCCCAATCAAGCCAGGTCTGAGGAACTTCCAAGCAGACTACGCCCTTGAATGCTTACTTTCCCGCGGTTATAAAGTCACTGATCGAGTGACAAATGGATTTTATGAAGTCCTGCAAAATTCTTTGGATACCCACGAGCCACCACAGGTTCGTTAACATTTCTTGAAATGCTGGCTTTCACTCAGCTGTTAAAAGGTTTTGAATCTCATTATCTGCTCCAAATGGTGGTCAAACACTGACCACAATGTGCTGTCAATGCAACCAGAAAGAATCCTATTGAAGACTTGCGATTCAGCTGATGAACATTCCGCACGAGACAGGAAATGAAGTGAAGTGAAAGCCAGCAATACACTTAGCTTCTTTGCTTGCATAATTGGGTGGCAGGAGTGGCCACTGTTGTGAGTCCAACGGTAGGGTCAGTGGTTCCATTCCTGCGGACGCCAGGCGTAAAAAGAGTTTGTTTGAGGTGTTGTCCTCTCTCTTGCCACGAGGGTTTTTCTCCGGGTTCTCTGGTTTTCCTCTCTCCGTAAAACTCAACATGCGAGTCTAGCGTTGTGTGTATAAAAAAGTAAATGTAGTGGTAGTGAGTGTGAGTGAAAGCAGGCCCACATCATTGAAAGCTGCCAAAACAATCAGCCAGGACTAAGAAATAAAAGATTATTAATATCATTCACTGCCTTCCTCATGATTCTTGGGCCTCGGGAGCTCCTTAAGGTCTGGTTGGCTTTCTGCTTTCGCTGACACTCAAAAATCGATCTCTCAGACCGAGTGATGTATGGTAACCAACTTCTCTTGCAGATTTGCCGTGCATTGTACCAACTCATTGCTCACGTAGACAACGACAGATTCTGTAACCTGGAAACCAAACTCCAGCAACTTTTATACGGCACATTCAAAAAGAACGTTGAAATCGAATTTGAAGTTCCAAAACACTACGCCCACGTGCCACGTGTCATAGTGACCCCGACCCAGGACTATCTAGTACAGCCAGAACTCGTCTCAGAGAACCGCGTCATTCGGCAGTATGGGCACGAGTTTGCCCTGCGCATTGCATTCAGAGATGAAGACTTTAACAAGCTGATGTCTTTTGGTGATAGCCTCAAAGATGTCTTAAAAACAAGAGTGGTTGATCTTTTGAAGAGAGGCCTTACAATATGTGGACGCCATTTTCATTTTCTGGCTTGTTCGAATAGTCAGCTACGGGACCATGGAGCTTGGCTCTTCGCAAAGGGGGATGATAACGTTGGTGTCGAAGAGATTCGGGAATCCCTCGGGCAGCTCGATAACATTCGCTGYGTGGCCACTTACGTTTCCCGAATGGGACAGTGCTTTTCGTCGACCAAGGAGTCTGTTAAAGTAAGCATTCCCGAAGGAGTTCTGATTAAAAAGATACCTGATGTTACATTGGATTACAAAGACGTGAAGTTTGAATGTTGTGGCGAAACCAGATCTGGGACGTATATATTCTCCGATGGTGTTGGGAAAATTAGCGAGTCTTTGGCTCAAAAGGTAAAACCATTCAGCTCGCAATCTAATGGACCTCTTCACCATGCATGGGCGTAATGTTTCCCGTTTCAAAACCACGTGTCATTCTCTTGAGAATAAGGAGTTGGTTAGTGTATAAGAAATATTACACCCGTTTGTCTGRTTTGGTTTAGCCCTTATGGTTATTTCACATACAGCTATTACCTTAACCCTTTATTTTCTCTTATCATACATAATTTGTAATTGTAATTGTAATGGATGGTACAAATAAACMGTTATTGTATTCAGAAAGTATCTTCAGCTATTAAWTCACAGAATGTAGCGAATTCATAAAATCTTTTAAAGTTTTTTCAAGGTTTTCTGCCGAGGATGGAATTAGCCATTACTCAGTCGTATTTTTGATCCAGGTAGCAGAAAGTCTGGGTCTAAGATCAACACCATCAGCTTACCARATTCGCTATGGAGGATGTAAAGGGATGTTGGCAATTGATAAGAAAATACCTGGTGGTGATTGGAGAGATGTTGTTTATTACCGACAAAGCATGAAAAAATTCCAATCTGAGCACAAAGACCTTGAAATTTGTGAATACAGCAAACCCAGTAAGTATGGAGTTCAACGTGGATTAAAAAATGACTAATGAATTGGGATGGTTTTCTGTATTCAAAGGTTCCATTTATCAGTTCTTTCGTCGCGCAACATAATTGCATTTTTTGTGTCATTCTGTTGAGAATAAGATTCTTTGTATRAMTCGCATCAATATTTATATTGTGTCTTATAAATTGCAACTGTTAAACAAAGAAATGATACTCTAGGGAATGACACATGATCTGAAATGGGAAAACATCACGCCCAAGGTAAAAATATTTATCATCACGCACAATAATTTTTTACCGTGTGACGTACCGTTTGACGTACCATGTGACGTACCGTGTGAAGTACCATGTGACGTGTGTGACGTACCGTGTTACGTACAATGTGACGTACAATGTGACGTACAATGTGACGTACCATGTGACGTACCGTGTGACGTATGGTGTGACGTACCGTTCTCAAACTCAATACCATGTAGTTACTCAGTTTTAAACGCCTACTATGTCTCAAGTATATTCACCTGCYTTTTTTAGACATGCTTTATCTAAATCGTCAATGCATAACTCTTTTATCTGGTCTTGGAGTCAAAGACGAAGCCTTCATCAAGCTTCAAGACGCAATGCTCATGCGTCTCGCTTCGATGTTGCTCTCYGAAAAAGTCGCCCTTGATATGATTGGTCGAGCAAACGTCGCAGGGGGTATGAAGACGTCGTACCTTCGTGACAGCGGTATCGTGGTGACGCGTGAGCCATTWTTCAGGTCCATGCTATTGGCCATCTACAAAACCAGGCTCAATGACCTCATACGAAAAGCCCGGATAGCTATCCCACAATCCTATGGGCGCTTGATGGTGGGTGTTTTGGACGAGACGAATAAGCTCGAATATGGACAGGTTTTTGTTCGTTATTCTAAAGAAACTGGCGGGGATGGAACGGAAAAAGAGTTTGTTACGAGAAAAGGTCCCGTCATGGTCACCAAAAATCCATGCTTTCATCCAGGTGCGAAAAAACTTATAACGATGATTGTCGTGCAATTAAACTGACAAATAAGACTCATTCATTCCATAGCTTCTCAAAATCCCGGGATGAATGAGCGTTTTGCATTTGATTAGTAATATTTTGTTCTCTCTAATATAACGTGTTCTTTTTTTCGTGCTTTTTCCTTTTCGTCATACATACATTCTATATATATTCATTTTCTATTTTGAAAAAACGTCCGAAACGTCTGTACTTTTCCAAAGTTTTTTAAACACGGTGTTTAAGTTTTCTCTKTATTCACTATTTATCTTCGCAGGAGATATGCGTAAGCTCGAGGCAGTCGACATACCAAGCCTAAATCATCTGGTCGACTGCATCGTTTTTCCCTCCAGAGGGCCACGTCCGCATACCGACGAAATCTCGGGCTCAGACTTGGATGGTGACAAATACTTTGTCACGTGGTACGAACCATTTTTRACACCTGAAAAGAACGTAAAGCCTATGGATTTCGCTGCTCCTGAAAAGAAGATTCTYGACCGCAGYGTGGACGTGAACGACATGATCGAATTCATAGCTGAATACATCAAGAAYGACCAGCTGGGGATTATCGCCAATGCGCATCTTGTTCACGCAGATTCAGAAGAAAAGGGTAAAATAAACTTAAAAAACTACAACTGAATACAAAACAGTTCTCTCCAGTCTCTTTTGGCGTACTCGGGTCGTCTTGGCCGGGCGCATCGAYAAAAGTGGGTMTAGCTCTGGTCTGCGCGACTTRGTACAAKTGTACATTTCGCGCGTGMGCASTGTTTTCYTCATTTCGTACTCCCTCGGGATAGATTCACAGCTAACTCACAGAGTGAATAACTGGAGAATTTGGGGAAAACCTTCGAATTAAGGAAGAGCCGATCTAGCAAACTCTACTCATTACCACTCTTCTCTAGTCCAGAAATCGAATCCGAGGACCAAGGGTGAGAGCCTAGTGTACTACCCGTTACAACACCCTAGATTCCCTAAAAAAATATAAGTTTAAACGTGTAGTTAATTTAAAAAACTATAAATAGTTTTGTGCTTTATTGGGTCGCCAAAATCGAGTTTCGTTCAAATAGTGATATAATTTACAATTCTTTTTAGGTATCAAGTCAAAAAAATGTATAGACCTTGCGCACATGCATTCAGACGCTGTTGATTTTCCAAAAACTGGGAAATGTCCGTCACTTACTCCAGACCTCAGACCTGGACAGTACCCTGATTTTATGATGAAAGTAGACAAACCACGGTATAGGTAGGTATTGATATCTGCTTTAAGCGACCACTTGAACAGCTCTCTAGTCTGCCTACTGCTGACTACAGTGATACGGGAGGGAGGAAAGATGGAGAACGCGTAGAAAAAAGCCCGCGAATCAAGGGAGAACTGGACCTAGCAAACTATACTCTCATGTGGTGGTGAGTTCAGAAATCGAACCTGAGACCCCGGACACGAGAGGCGAGTGAGCTATCGCTACGCCACCCCTGATCATCCCGTCGAGTCCGGTTGATATAAAAGGTACCGGCCACTGTGCTTTTTTGAACGCGAGTGCCTTATCTCTGCCTTATTATCTTAGGCCTCATTGACCACTCCGGCGAGCGACACTCGAAGGGCACTGCTTCGCGCCGGTAAATGCCATTGCTTGTGATATTCCTTCGCAAATCAGCCCTGCATTGTGATGACCGATCTCATATACTTGCAAATCCGTCCAATCGTAGATCGACGAAGGTTCTGGGAAAATTGTTCCAAAAATGCAAGCAACTGGAAAGAGCGCGGCACTTCATAGGCGAAGAGAGTATAACACCGGATTTTAAAGTGGACCAAGATCTGATCCTTGAGGGACACCAGAAATACATCAGTTCTGCCGTAGAAAAGAGGGATTACTATAACACCAAGCTGGGGTCGCTTATGGCTTTATATGGACTAAAGAACGAAGGGGA